ATATGTTGTTATGCTGTTGAGTTGGTTCTGACCCAAAGCAACCCAGTATAGGGTTTCTGAGGAGCGACTGATGAGCTTGAGCCACTGACCTTGTGGTTCAAACCAACTTCACAGTTCAACACATTAACCCACAGCACCACACCAAGACTCCATATACGTATATGGTGGTGGTGGTGATATGCCATGGAGTCGGTTCTGACTCATGGCGACCCTGCATAGGGTTTCTGAGGCTGTAAATCTTTATGGGAGCTTTTAACAACAACAATAATATATTATAAATATATTTTTATTTGACAAATGTTTTGAAATATCAATGTTGAATCCCAGATATTGTAGGTATTAAATTGAAAAAGCTCAGGACAGGACTTGGCACTCAATAACTCTATTAATGTCCAACTGGATGGCACTTAACAACAACATACACATATATAAAATGGAATTTTATAAGAATAGCACAGAAGCATATCTTTTGCAAGGAGTATTTTCAAGGTTGACTTTGATTTTGCTGGTGGATGAATGAACCTTTTTGTAGTGTCTCTGTTTTCTATCCCCATTTCCTAGTCTGTTAGCAACATCTGCAGCAGCTCAGTAAGGTGCAAGCTCATCGATGTCTAACCAGTTTAGTTCTGTTATGTTTCTTATAATTTTAATCTATAATCTTAATTTTTCATTTCTAAGTGAGAAGTTTGAATCTTTGTCTTATGATAATTAATCATATTAACTAGAATTTTAAACTTGAATACGAAAAATATTGCCTTCCTTCTTTTGAGTTTCCATTTCTCTTTCTGCAATATAAATTCTGTTGTTGTTGTTGTTGTTGTTAAATACCACCAAGTCAGTTTTGACACATAGCAACCTTATATAGGGTTTCCGAGTAGCAGCTGGTGATTTTGAACAGCCAACCCTGTGGTTCATAGCCCAGTGCCTATGCTACAGCGCCACACAAGGAGTCCATAAATTCTGTCAGCCAATCCTTAATATCTTATGAAAGTATTTTAAGAAAGGTAGTTAGTTATAAGGCTACAACAGTACATTGACAGCGAACTGCTAGAAATCCAAACTGGATTCAGAAGAGACCATG